TTTTAGATTTTTTTAATTTCTTAATTTAAAACTATTTCTCCTTTAAAGGGAAATACAAAAATCACACACACACACACTTAAACTTGTTTATTAAGTAGATTAAGTTAATTAGAAATAGACAGATAAGTTATAAAATATAGGTTTCTTCTTCTTATTCATTTCATTTACATGTACCTATATCTACTAAAAAAATTTCGATTAGTTATTAATGGTTAAATTTCTCTATCAATAATGATTTTATTAACCTCTTAATTTTTTTCTGGCAATTAAAAAATTGACACTAAAATTGATGATATTAAACTAAATTGTAGTAGTTGTATACAACTGTCAAAAATATTATCATAAACTTTGTGATAGTTATTTAGTGGCTATTTTAAAATATCGTTAAATTTTAAAATTTAAGCGCAAAAAATTGAACACAGTAATATTTTCTGTCATATTGAAAAATACGAGGTCAAAATACTCTAAGATGTGTGTTTTCACAAAAAGTTGAATTTATTTAAATGAAGGTTGAAGACAATTTTTCTTGGCCCACTTCTTAGATTAATTGTTAAGCTTAGTTATTCGACGAACAAAAGAACTAATGTGTAGTTGCAAACATGAAACATCTCTCTAAAATATTTTAAGATATTTTGAAATGATCTCAAATGGCCAACATTCTCTTAGGATAACGTTAAAATGGTAAAAGAATAAAGAATGGTAGTGGTAAAAGAAGTGTTAGATATTTTAACAATTTATTAAATATTCATGTAACTTATTTTTTTACCTTAAACTTTAAATCCTAAACCTTAGACTCTTTAGATAGATCAAAAATAGTAGTTGTTAAAATAAAGATGACAGTTTTATGGTAATAAAAAAAAGACAACATTTAAAATTATGCACTCCACGTGAGAGTTAGATTCTTGTAAAAGTTTTTAGCAATTATTATCTCAAATTAATGTTAAAATCTTTCTATTTGTCTGTGATTACATTAAATTTTTTGCTTTTGTTGGTAGTTGTTTCAAATTGATGTTAAAATTCTTTTATTTGTTAATAATTACATAAAAATTAATGTTAAATTTCTTATTTTTGCTTACATTTATCTTAAATTAATGTTAAAATCATTTTATTTGCTTGTGGTTATATAAAACGAAATTAAACTCTTTATTTTTACTAATAATTATTAAAATTGATGTTAAATGTTATGTTTTGAATATTTGATTAGCGACTATTAATAACTACCATTAATGAACCAATGATAGACGCCACAATTCTTACCGTGATGATAATATTTTATATATTTTTAATCATTAATTTCCATATTTACTATTCCATATTTTTTGTTCTCTTTCCAGAGAAAATAAATTACTCATGTATTTATCTATCTAGACCATTCGGCTATCCATTATTTTTTCCTTGTTCCACCCATTTTTTGGGTAACTCACCTATTTAACTCAAGTTTATGCGCAAGGACAACATTTCTGCTATTTTTTTAGTATTATTTGTGTTATTTATTAATTAAAATTATAGTTTTATTTTAATAAAAAATTACATTTAATGTTATTACATATTATGAATATAAAATTTCAATATTCATAAAAAATATTACTTAAAAAAAAATATAATACCACTTAAGTTTTTTCTTTTTAAAACTCATTTCCCTTTTCTTTTAAGATCATTTTCTCATTAATTGTTTTGTCTCATGGGCCAACTTATCAACTTTTCTCTCATAATTATTTCCCTTTAATGCTGTATGTTGATTATGAAGTTGAAATATGAATATCTTATTGGAGATTCCTCCATCTCGTGATGCATATAAAATATATTTGAGAGCAAGTGTACTTTGTCAATATAGGAATTGAGTATTAACATGGTATTGATTGAATAAATATTAAATATATATTTAGTTTTTTAAAATAAATTTTTAAACTCAAATCTTATATATATGAATTTAATTTAAATATATTTACAGTATAAATATTTTTATATTGTTATTTAATTATAAAGTGTACACTAATTGTTGATTTTTATAATAATTAATATAAATATTATATTTATGATATATTATAATAATTATGGTACAATTATACATCATTGCAGGTTCTTAATTTTTTTTCTTATGAATTATTGGTTTTCTTATCTTTTCTGAAACACTTGGTATTATTATTTGACCTGTAACGATTATTGTAACATGAAGTTGGATAACATATCAGTGAACGATAAAATTTACATGTAGTTATTTAAGTATTTTTTATTAAATTCAAATTTTATTTCAATAAAAAGATTAAATTAAATGTTATTACAAATATTTAAATTAAATTCTAAGTAAAAAAGTACACAAAAAATATCTACAATTTATTCATAAAAAATTTGTCCAAATCTTAGCTCATTATTATCAATAACAACTTTAATTTTTAGACGCACAAATAACATTAAAATTCATTTAATATCTTTCATTTTTTTTATCTCTTTCTTCTTATTATATTATCTTCTACATCTATTATTTTTCATTCTAACTATAGACACCCAACCATTTTCGTATCTATAATTATGGTAAAAATATAGATATTTCATAGACATTTAGAAAAAGTCAAAGATGAAAAACTTGATAAATATTTTGATCTTAGAATGTTGCAAAGCAGTTAGTACAATCAAGCTTCTTGAAAGGAGACTAGTTTTATTAGATTTTATATCTGAATGATTTATTTTAAAGTTAAAAATATTAATCTTAATTTTAAAGTTAACTTTAAATGAATAATATAATAATTTATTAAAAATATCACGTGTTTAATATAATAACTATATTTTTAATAAAAAAATTTATTTCTAAATACTTAAACCCAACCTTACAGATTAATATTAAAAAAATTCTTTAAAGTTTCATATGTACTTGAGAAATCCTTTTTTTATATTAGAATTAAAATACTTATAAGAATTAAAATGACATTTTTTGATTGAAAAGATATTTGGTTACATTAAAAAAATAAAAATATAATGAATACTTTTTCCTCAATACGTGGTAGTCAATAAAATTGTTTTTTTTTAGTTAATATGGAATTATAGCTGATAAAATGAAAATGAAATGACCACTAAAATTCCACATTAATTAATAGGGTAACCGTGGCTAGAAGGGAACAATTAATTAAGGAAGGTTATGACAAGAAGCCCAAATAGTTACCAGAGTACCTATTATTGATCATCATTGCAATATTATGAAATCGCTTTAGAATTATTAAAATATACAAGTACTAAATAGAAAATACTAGTGATAAACAGAAGCTAAAATTATAACCCTAATAAATAATATTTTAACAATAACCAAACCATAAGTAAACTAGAAATAAGAATAAAAATATGTTTTAATTCATCAAGTTTACGTGCAAGATCATGTAATGATTTAAATAGTTTCTAAAAATATATTTCTCTTTATAAAATTTGTGTTGAATTTAGTCCTGCAATATATTTTTTGAAATTATGTAAATAATCTAAAATATATTAGTTTAATCTATTATTGTTGTTGTAGAAATATATATATATATATATATATATATATATATATATAGATAGATAGATAGATAGTTCGAGTTTTATATATTAAATTTCATTCGCTTAAGAGAGAAGTTTATCTTACATAGGTTTTCTATCTTGTTTTAAAAGTTATATATATTTTAAAATACTAATCTATATTATAATTTAAATCATTTAAATGCAAATGAGTTTTTTCAAATAACTACAAACGAACTAGGGGTACCTTTTTAAAAGTTTAGGAGAAGAAGTGATGCTTAAATAGTTGTAAAATCAACTATAGCATTTGAGTTATAATATTTACTTTATCTTCTATAATTATAAATTTAATAGTAGGAATTGAAAAATAGAATCACAAGAAAAAAAACTGACATTAAAAAGCTGGTACGCATTTAAATAGAGTAATTAGGGCGCCTGAGTAAAAATTCAATTAACTACTTATTTAATAAATTAATTGTTATATTATAACTTATTTTATAAATTTAATCACAACAATTAATAAAATAAATTAAAACAATAATCAATATAAATTGATTTATTTTACAAAAGTTATTAATAATTTTTATAGATCCATACATACAGTACAAGAATGTAATTTTCTTATTTTAAAAATATTTTACTATATTTTTAGTCTTTTTCTTTTGTCTTATGTGTAACTTTAATTTTTTAGCTAATAAATTTTTTATTTTTAAAGTTCTGTGAATTTCATCCTTTCTTTAGTTTTATTTTACTTAAAATCTTTTAATTATTATTTTTTTCTAAATATGTAAAGTGTCAAATTAAAATTGCAGTTATTGTTTTAAAAAATAAAATTTTAATCTATATCTAAGAATATACAATATACAAAATTAACAGTATTTTTTTTAAAAAAATTATAGAATTTAATATTATCTAATGTATTACATTATGTAATTTTTAATTATACCTAACAACTGATGCTGATTTTTTTTAATATACAATAACTTCTCTTTAGTGTTAAAATTTGTTATGTATTAGCAAAAAAGAAAAAAAAATTAAAGTAATAAATCACTATAAATAAATTTTTATCATGTACATTTAGAAACACATTAGAAAGAATATTTTAAAGAAACTAATACTAATTATAACAAAAATAAAAATATTGTAATATTGCTAATCAATAATTTTTATAAAATATTATATGAAACTGTATTAAAAATTATAAAAATTATTAATAACAATTTTGATTAACAACTTTTAGTTTTAACTTTTTACTGATCATGAACATTTTCCCAAAAGTAATTATGTATAGAGAAAGAATAAAAAGGAAGAAGGATATTGGAGGCATAGTGTGAATGGGTCACTTATCATAGTGCCTCCTTTACCATTTGACCATTTATGAACCAAATCTCAAATCTCAATCAATTCCCACTTTTTTTTAATTGTGAGACTCAGAAAGAAAGCTTTGGCCAACCCCCACGCTTCCTTTATTCTCCTTTTCCACTCTCTCATCACAACACCCCTTCACTTCTTAATAATAATCATCAATTCAACAACGCCAATGAAGATCCAATGCGACGTATGCCACAAAGACGAGGCTTCTCTTTTCTGTACCGCCGACGAAGCCGCCCTCTGCCACGGCTGCGACCACCGCGTACATCATGCCAACAAACTCGCCTCCAAACACCAACGCTTCTCTCTTCTTCGCCCCTCTCCTAAACTTCACCCCCTTTGTGATCTTTGCCAGGTAATTAATTCCACCTTTAATATCACTTCTATTATAATACACTTTCATGAATCATTCATTATTATTCCAAATGCATGAATACACGTTTATTTCAACTCTAGCTAGCGTTGGATCTAATTTTCTTAACGTGTTTCTCATGCTTAATCTGTCGAGTTTTTCTTTTTCAGGAGAGAAGGGCTTTCATGTTTTGTCAACAAGATAGAGCGATTCTATGCGAAGAGTGTGACTCATCTATTCATTCTGCAAACGAACACACCCTTAAGCATGATAGGTTCCTTCTCACTGGTGTTAAGCTCTCTCCTTCACCAGCTTCTGATTCTTCTTGTAACTTTTCACATCAACCTTTGACTTTGACCACTCCTTCACCACCATCAACAACGACAACAACACTGCCTCTATCTTCCAACAAGGGTGTGGAAAGCTTGGTGAATGTTGAAGGGACTTCTTCTACAAGTGCTACATGTAGTAGCATATCGGAGTATTTGATAGAGACTCTTCCTGAGTGGCAGGTTGAAGATTTTCTCGATTCATATTCTGTTCCCTTTGGCTTCTGTAAGGTTTGCAATTTCTTTCTTTGTGTTTTTTTATGAGGTTTCTTTGTTTTCTATTACAATGATTGTTGGATCTGAGATTTGTAATGAAGTGCAGAGTGATGAGATGTTGCCACTGTTTGATGCTGAAGTTGAGGGGAATCTTGGTTCGTTCTCGGCAGAGGGTGTTGGGATCTGGGTTCCTCAAGCACCACCACCTCTTCTTTGTTCTTCACAAATGGATCGGGCTGGTGGGTGCTGTGAGATAAAGCAAGGGACAAACATCAAAGGAAACAGATCAAGGTTGAAGGATGATAACAACTTCACGGTTCCACAGATTAGTCCTCACTCCAATTCTAAAAGACCCAGGTTTCTATGGTAGAATGGACAAGCTTCAAATTCGAATCTTGTGATGGAAAAATGCTTTAGAATTAACACCCTCTTTGTTTTTTCTTTTTTCTCTTTTCACCCGTTGTCTGAATCTTACTTTGCCATTGTTGTTAATTTGCTTCTGTTTGACTGTTTTTTTTGGGTTACGCCTCCCCTTCTAAAGGGCTGTGTTTTGAAGTTTTGATTAATTTGTGCACCTTTGTTTAGTGACTGTAAATAGAAACCTTTTTCAAGTGCATGCTGTTTTTTTATTCATTTTTAGAAGAGAAAAAAGATAGTTTGTTGATAGATTTCATTTCAGGGTACCTTCATTATGAATTTAGAGTAGTGAAAAATGTGACATGATCATATTAAAAAAAACAAAAGTTATTAATGATTTTTATAATGGACAACTATGATGAATTTTTATTTGATAAAAAAATGTCATTTTCTTTTTAATATGATCATGAAATACTACTTACCAATATAAGAGCATTAAAATTCATGATGTTATTTGAAATGGGTGGCAAGGAAGAGGACAAGTCCATTGAAGTCTGAGTTGTTCCTTTTGGTCAGGGGGTGGGAATAGGATGGGTTGTTGGATGTAGGACAGATAGAAATTAAGGGGCGATGGAGAAGATGATTTTGCTCACATGAATGATGAACATGATGATGGCGAAGAAAAGATAGGGACAGAGGGCCATCACCATGAGTGGAGAAAAGGGTATAAATGGATCGCATATGAGTTTGTCTGAACTTAAGAAATTCACTTGTAGGGGCAACCGTACCCCTTTTTCTTCATCATCAATGCCATTAGTAGTAAGTAGCGTTTCTAAGGAGGAAATTGATTCCTATGGATTCCATTCCCTGTACGTTATGGGTTTCTATTTTTGTTTTCGGTTTACGGCACCAAATATATATAATATAATATATTTGTTGCATGTCTCGCAAGCCTAATTGGAGTAGTTCCTGAGTACACTGGTCAAAACTGTGGAACTGTACCAGTAACTGGATAGCCCAAGGCAAAACTATCATTGAATAAAAGTCATGATATTGACTTTATCATTTTTAATAAATGAAATACCAGTCTTTTCTTTTTGTCAAGAAATAAAATACCAGTTTAGATTATGATTCAAGTCACACCGAACATTTTGTTTCTGCTTCGTTGTCTAGGATCTCGTTTGCACGATAAATAAACAAATAAAACAAAAGTAGAAAGGGAAGAAAACTCAACCCTTCACTCTCAACAATAGGAAGAAAAACAAATTGTCGGTTTCCCTCTATTTGTCTCGATCAATTTTTAGACAATTTTTTTCTTTCACTAAAAAATAAAATATTTAAACAAGTACAGTATTTTTTTTTTAGATCCACTGTATCCTGTGAGTGGAGGGTATCCTCTCATTAAAATAATCGTTATTTTATATTAATAGACAATAAAGTTAGGTAATTAAATTAAAAAATGTTAAAATCTTCTATTTTTAATATAAAAATTTGAATTATAATGATCTGAATGGATAATTTAACATGATATATTATCTAATAAATATAAAAAATAAGGTACAATAAAATAATAGAGAAAGAAGAAAAAAATTTCTTTTATTTTTTTGCTAATATTTTTTCTTTGATTTAAATGAATAGAAAAGATAATGAATAAATAAATAAATTGTATAAAAATATTTTTTAATAATAAAAATTAAACTTGTTCTTGCCATGCATTATGCAAACTTACTCAAAAGTTTTTATTAAAAATTATTTAACTCTAAATTAAACTAAAAGAAAAAAGAAAAGAAAATCCAATCCTTCACTCTCTGGAAGAAACAACTTGTGGTCTGGCTTTCTTAATTTTTTTCTTCCACTAAAAAATAAAATATTTGAACAAGTAAACGTAATCTCTTTTACGCAAAATCATTTTTCTCCATTTCTTTTCTCCCAAAATCACCTTATAAAAAATACACTGATTCCACCGGTGACTCAAAAGGGGAATTAAGTTGTTCATCAAATAACTATGACTCCATAAGATCGATCTACCATAGTACCATTAATTAATTAAGATGTGACAGTCCGGCCATTACTCAGTTTTAAATTCGGAGTACGGTGAAGGCATAACCATTTTGAGATTTGAAATTATATCTATTGCAAATTGAGCACTAACTTTTGCTCATGTTGTTCCTACACATCGATTGTCATAATATTCCCTGCAGAGAAGAGGCACAGAAAAAAGAAGAAGAAGAAGAAGAGAAAATGTGATAAAAAGAAAAAAAAAAGGTGAAAAATCAAGTTAAAATGTTACGACATTTATCTTACAAAAATAATCATGCCGACACATATGCGAAAGATAAGAAACATACTTAATGAGAGGAATTATATATATTAAGAGGTTATGCAATCATTTAAAGAGATCACGTAACTTTTAAAAGATTTACATAATTTAGATGTTAAAATTCAAGAATATGTTTTGAATTATTTATTTTTTTAATAATCTTTTATATACAACAAATTTCATTAATTTATAAATATTTGATGTATCATCAAACCATTTTACTTTAATATACGATATAACTTTTAAAATTTAAATAAATGTTGACCTTATGATTAACTTTTTAAAAGTTGACGCAACTTCGTATTTGAATTTTTAACTAAAGTCAAAGAATCAATATTGGTAAAGTTATTTGTGTGCATCTCGAAGGAAATAATACCCTTTCAGTATACCTTCAATTTTTTTTTAATTAGAATAAATTCTTGAAACAAAACTTAAAATAAAAGAACCTTATATAACACATCTACTTTTGAAATTCTAGTACTCCTTTTTTTTAACATAACTTTTTTATGTCTATCATTATTATTATTATTATTATTATTATCTTTTTAAATCTAACTATACTGGATAGGGCCTTACTTAGACTAACTTGTAGGAAAAGAACCATCGTTCGATTAATATAACCAAATATTTTTATCAGATTAAAAAGGAGTTAACGTAATTGATGATAATAACTAAAATATTGTTTATGTTAAAGGGCCAAAACTAATTAAGAAGCTAAAATTAAGGATAACTTAAGTCCATTAACTCATAATAAAGTCTATAAAAGAAAGGTAGTGAGCACGGGTGAAAGATTTTTCTCTTTGGCATATTATTAAAAGAAAATAGTATTTGTTATTCAGGATCGATATCTGACTTGAGCATCAGAGTGTCTTTTGCAGGTGATCTCTCCACTTCAGTAGCAAAAGGACATCATCCCACCAGGATAGAGATGCTCTTGAGATGTCGGCCTTAAGGAGGGAGAAGGCTAACTTGAGGGAAGAAATTAAAACCCATACACCCTCTCAGACTACCCTGTTCCCCCAAGAGCAGGGAGAGTCATCCGCATGGCAAGAAAAGACAAAGAGGACCCAAGTTGAAATCCCCGCTAAACGGGATGAGGCCTCAGGTCGAAGCCCTATTATCCAGTCTATCCTGGAGGTCAGGTTGCCCGATAACTGGAGAGGTTTAACGTTAGAAAAGTACGATGGAACGACTGATCCAGGAGAACATTTGGATGTTTTCATAGCACAAGTCAGTTTGTATACAGAAAACGAAGCCCTATGGTGCAGAATTTTCCCTACTTCTTTTCGAGGACCAGCTCTCAGCTAGTTCACCCGACTCCCCACTTTCTCCATCAACTCTCTTGCAACCCTTACACGGCGATTCAATCTACAGTTCGCCACAAGTCGCCCTCACCCCCTCACATCCCTAGCACTCGTCAATATCGCCAGGAGAAAGGAGAAACACTTAGAGCGTTTTGGCAAAGTAACTCTTTCAATTCATAATCTGGAACCAGTTGTGGCTATGCATCACCTCACAACTGCCCTCAGACCAGGTCCTTTTGTTAATAGCATATGTAAGAAGCCACCCATGGACCTAGATGAATTAAGGAGTCGGGCAGCCAAGTATATGCAAATGGAAGAACTAACTGAATACCGGAACCAAATCCATGTAGAAAGAAGGTCTAATCCAAGAGAGGTGGACAAAAGACAAGCCCTTAAGCCTCAACAAGAAAACAACGTCAGGAGAAATGAGGTTGAGAGGCCATTTAGAGGCCCCAAGTACCCCTCATATACTACCCTCAACACCAACCGATCTAGGGTACTTGACCAAGCCCTCGCAACTGAGATATTGAGCATGCCAAGGTGTGCTAATACCCCCCTCGGGCATACAAAAGTAAATTGTGCCGATATCATCGAAATAGGGGCTATACCACAGAAGAATGCATGGCCCTTAAGGATAAAATCGAAGATCTGATTAAGGAAGGGCACCTTCGAAGGTTTGTACAAACAAGTCCCACGGGTCATGCTGAAAGAAGTACAGGTCGGTATCCCCCACCCTTGCGAAGCTATGAGGATAAACAGACCAAACGACAATAGAGCCGGTCAAGAGAGCCTCCTGTGAGGCGATACGCGGAACAGGAGAAGTACCTGAAACGGGTTATTAACTCCATAGCCAGTGGATTTGCAGGTGGAGGACCCACAAACTCGGCCAAAAAAAGACATCTGAGACAAATTCGCTCAGTCAACAACGTATCGTTGGGTAGGAGAATTCGGATCCTCCCATCACATTCAATGACGATGACTTTCAGGGGATAGATCTAATGCAAGATGACCCAATGGTTATAAGTGTCGATATCCTCAATTGCACCGTCAGAAAAATGCTGATCGATCAGGGGAGCACGGCCGATATACTCTGCTGGAACGCATTCAGACAACTGAGGATACCGGAGGATGAACTCAGAGAGTATCACGAACCACTGGTCGATTTTTTTTGGGGAACGGGTAGAAACCCGTGGTTGCATAGACCTGTACACATCCCTCAGGTCAGAAAATGAAGGAAAACGCATCAAGGTCACCTACCTGGTGGTCCACGCGAATACTTTGTACAACATTATACTCAGTCGGCCATCGCTTAATAAATTGAAAGCCATAGTGTCTACTCCTCACTTGGCTATGAAGTTTCCATCAGAGAGAGGCCGAATCGTTATAGTCCATGCTGACCAAAAAACAATGAGAGAATGTTATTTCGCGAGTCTGCGCCTCAAACCATTATAAAACTATAGACAAGACGTCAATATCGTATCCCCTCGGCCAGAAGAGGACTTGGAGATCGAGCTGGATCCTAAGGTAGACGAGGGGTGTCGGATTGAGCCCAATGA